TGTTGAATGTAACTCTGAAAATGGGCGTGGTGGTCAGAAAAAGGCCTGCTGCAGCACTTGTGCACTGTTTGTGACTGGCAGATGTAATTATTTTTGTTCTGTTGGGTTTTTTCCTGTTCTTTGAGGATGTATATATTTTTTAATTGTTTTCTTTGTGTACATATGGTCTGTTCTTTATGTAATGAAGAAAAGCAATGCAATAAGGAGCTTTGCACAGTTTGTTTAAAAACTGCATTTGGAAAACCTTTTTCACCTGCCTAAAGATGCAATTGTTTAAACTTTTCAGTAGACTTGATTTGAAAATATGCTTGAATTTTGATAAAAAAAAAACCCCCAATATATTAAGATGTGTAGTAATAGCCTAGGATTGCTTACCACTACAGCTTTTTTTTTAAGTTTCTGACAGTATACCAAATCTTGTTAATTAGCAAGTAAGGAAGAATTCCATAATAAATTCAGGGATTACATAACGCATTTTGCTAATTTGCTTTTGTTGTTTGAGCATTCAAGGGTACATGTGAGACAATGCATGAGACTTCTTCCCCTGATTTGGCACATGTCTGCATCACACCAGAGCTGTTCGCTCCCTTTTCCCTCCATGGGTTTAAAGTAGACTTAAAATGCTGCAATATTTCAGAAGCCTGCAATTTTCACTTTACATGCAGCAAATTGGAGAAACTAGACTTCAACCAGGTTTGATATTTTTGTGCAACCTGCACTTTATAATAAAAACAATTTTGTATCTTCAATCAGTAGTAGTTAAAAGTATCATTTAGAAAAATAATTTCATTTTAAAGGGTACTTTATAACGGCTTATATTTTTGGATGTTTTAAATACTAGAACATGTAGAAGCCCATTGATACACCCTCTGTATATCATGTTCAGATTGTTTTTATGTAGTTATCAGTTTGTTTTGTTTAGGTAAGTGTATCAAACTGGAACTTTTTTGAACTGTAAATATATGGTTTTATTAAATAAAGTCATGTAAAGTTACCTTAATCACGTGGTGCTGCCAGTGTCATCTGAAACTAAGTTCCTGAATTTCTGTAGAAGGTTTCTGTTGTCGGTTTGAGTTTTATTTTCAATGTGGCATTTTAGAAGCTTTTAGTTCCAAAAAGATACCCCAGATGGTTTAGTTAATGGCTTTCACATCTCTGCCTATAATTAGGGGGCCAACCTAACTTGAGGAGGTGGCTGGCCAATTTCACGGGCAGATTCTGGGGCTGGCTGCCATTTTCATGGGCCCTGTGTGGCCAAAGGGCCCTTGTGGTCCCGCCCTTCGCTGCTGTTGCGTTGCAAGGACTGTCCATAATGCAGCCCCACCCCTTGCTACCAGTTGGTGTAGTGAGCAGGGCCGCACAACAGGCAGCCCTCTCAGCCAATCAACAGTGAGGGGTGGAGGCAGTAGCCCTTCAGGGGGCTGCAGTGCCACTTTATTTTCAGTAATTTTTTTTGCAGTGACCCCGCCAAAATTGCAAAGCCCACCAGTTTTCACGGAGCCCACCCAATTACATATGTTCTGCAAAAATTGTGCAATCGCGAATTCAGAAGGGCCCTACCCATAATTCTTGCCTAAATGGGACCCATTTCAGAGGGTAGGAGGGAGGGAGTGTTTATAAAAATGACTTGGCATGTTAATACTTTACGTCCCCTTTTGAAGCTCTGATTTAAGTGCATTTCATATAAACTTTGCTGATAAAAGGCCTGCATTTTTTTGGTCCTGCCACAAAAAGCAGGTAAGATCTAATATGTGTCCTGCCATATATATCATGACTATAGGACTTGCACCTCCCACCTTCTTCCCTTTGTTCTCTTCCATAATAGAATTCTGATGGTCACAGGTATTCATTTGTGGCTGCTGTGTGGAAGGGTTTTTTGTTTCAACAATTTGTATTAGCGGATGGTTATGTATAGCATATGTGTACAATTGTCCCCATCTTTGTCTTCAGTAGACATGTAAGAATTTGCTGCCGCACAGTAGTTAAGGTGGGTTTTATATAACCAACATGAACTGATGATCTGGGGAGCACAGACAGTACCTAAAGAAAGGAGTGCAAGTCAGCATGAATCAAATATCTATGTATAGTGGTCTTTCTGTTTTCAGTGTTTTGGATGAACAGTTTGACTTCTTATTGGGGTCTTTTATGAGTTAAAACCTAAAATCAGAAGCATTCTTATTGGGAGAAGTCTTCCAAATATGTTGACAAGGAATGCTATCTGCATCCACTGAATCAAATAGGAACTATACATTTGCAAACACTACAAAGGGTTTTTTGTTTTGTTTTTTTAAACTGGCTTTATTCTTCCTTGCCTCTGGTTGATATAATCTCAGTTTGCTGGAAAGTACTGGTGGAGGAAGGGAAGCTTTACTTTTTCTCAGCTACCACATGTTAACACAGAGCTTGTGAAGAAAGAGGATTTTAACTTCTTTTGACTTGTGCCATGTTATATTTTTCCCCACAGAAGAGGGATAAGGGTTTTATATTTATAGATCCCCTGGCATCACCTCATAATTTACAATTAATCTCTTAGGAGGATTTAGAAGGCCACAAAGTTGCAATGGTTTTGTCACTGTATTGACAAAAAGGAAATACCTAGAAAGGTACATGAGGATTTAGTAAATGTCTCTAATTTGGGGGGAGTTTTTTGGGTGTGTACATGTGCACGCATGCATGCCCAAATTATCTACAAACTCGAGAGCAAAGAGCAAATGCCAGCACAGAGGAGTTTTCCAGGGAAGCTCTTTCCTGCTGTCCCCATCACTTGTCATTTCCCACGGTTGTGAAAATAACAGGAATGTTAGCCCTTGATCTTTAGTCTATTAAAGAAAAAAGCTTATGGGAAACTTTTATATTTTTTAAATTTATTTTTAGTCTCAAAGAATAAAGCAGGTTGATTATTGAAGAGAAAATCCAACTATCCTGGCAAGGCCTTGGGACCGAAGTTAAACTGGTTCAGTGAGTAGGAGTAAGTTTGCTACTCTGTTTGGAATTGGGAGAGTCGCGCAAAATGTGGTTTTTCGTCACAAGTGGTATGGAAGAGGGCATAGGGATAAAACTACAAGTTGATCATTACATGAGAGAAAGTAGATGGGGCAATTCTGGTTCAAGGAATCTTTTACTTGTATTGTTACACCTTTTACCAAAATGGAAAAACAAACAAGCGCTTCACTTGCACAAGACTACTGCTTTTTTTTTTTTAAGACAGGGTTGTCAAACAGAGTACTTGGGCCACATCTGGCTTGCAGAGCCAGATCATATGGCTCACAGCCTTGATGGGGGTGAGGGAGGACCTTCTCATGGCTGCAGCCAAGCACCTGGGTGTGAGCTGCCATGCTGCTGAGGCTCCAGCACTGAGAGAAGAAGCCTGGCACTGTGACGTGCCAGCCAAGCACTCATGACACCAGCTTCTTCCCATGCTGATGGTGGGGCTCTAGTGCCATGACTGTTGCCCAGGCATTTGGCTGCAGCCACAGGGCTCGAGCAGCACAACTGTCATTGGCTTAGCTGCCAGGAACCCAGGAGAGAGAGACAGTGCTAGAGCCCCAGTAGTACTGCAGAAAGCAGCCCAGGTCTGCAACTAGTTACTGCAGCAGCAAAGTGCCCAGGCAAGCGTTGCGATCCTAGAGCCAAGCCCTAGCAGCATGGCAGTAAGAAGTCCGATTCTGTGGCTTGTTCCCATGGTAGCAGCCAAGTACCCAGCCTCTTCTTACCCTGTCCTGAACTAGCATGGTGAGGGGGAGGTCCTGTGGGCCTGATTCAGTTTGCAGCGGCAGCCCTGCACCACTGATCCAGCCTGCAGGGCTAGATGCTTTTGACACCTCTGATTTAAGATAATTTTCTTCTTATACTGACTAGCGATGGGTACAAAGCTATTAACTGCAGTAAAATGTATTTTAAGTAACACCCTACTCTTCAAACTACCTCCATACTACTGCAGGTTTAGCAGTTAGTCAAGATTCAGTACGTACAAATAAGTGTGACTTGTAGTGTGTTTTACTGCATCTTTTAACTATTCTTTAAAAGACGATGCTCTTCCGCAGCATCCAGTCAAATCAAATTCTAAGAAGAGGCAAGACAACACTTACTGGACCATACTGTCAATGCTAACCCCACGTGGGATGGCTTAATAATAATAAGGCTCATGCTCTCAGTAATGAACTGACTAGCTTCTTTGTTACAGACTGAATTCTCCCCTCTTGCATCCATTTTTAGTTGTGATACCAACATTTTAAGTGAAGTGGTTCAAAAAAAATAAACCCCATAAAAAATCTACCATAGAGATCATTTGGAGAAACAAGCAAGTGTAAGCCACTGTTCCAAGCTTCTTAGCACCATGTACTATTCTCATTGCCACTAGTTTGGCTAATGCATTTCAAGACAAGTTTGTGCGCTCATTTTTAGGACATGGGACAGTAACGATGGTATTTTTGTTTTTTATTTTCTAATTGGAATGTTATAACCTCCAGTCTATCATTTCTCAGAAGGCTTTCAGATATGTTGAATATGTAGTTGAAATTAGATAATGATTAATGAATCAGAGCTTGTGGAATTTAAATTCTGCACTGATTTAACTTCTTAGCTGAGTCACCATGACTACTGGGTTTGAAATTTTAAGATCAACTACAAAACATTGTATTTTTAGTGTTGTGTTTTGTAGGGGCCTTAAGTGTCAAATCATTCATTACCTTTCTTTATTTCTTAATCAGAACACCAAAGAAAAACAATGTGTGTAATGCACGTTTATAGCTTTAGACATAGCTTTAAAAATTCAGTATTTTAAAAAATGTGCTTAAAGACCAGGTGAGTATGCTGAGTTTCCAAAAAAGAAACTGAAACTGCAGTGGCCACAACACGTGTTAATGGCAGAAGCGGAAGAACTTTAGGTTGATTTGGTCTTTGCCAGGGGTTACAATGTCAGGTGTGTTGTTAAGTGTGAAATACTTAAAGAAACCAAGCACATTTGGCCATTTTTTAATTGGAGGGCCATTTGATAGGTACAACTGTATGGCAGTCTCCTGCACAATAAATAGTAGTAAACATGCTATAGAAAGGAGATTATTTTCCAGTAAAATATTTAGTTTATCCCCTTGCCTATACAAAAAAAAAAAATGATTTTTCCCAGTACTTTTATTTCTAGCCCACCCCACCCACGGTTTTGGTGTCTCTAAAGATCTTGTCTCCCTCTGGTATCTTCATGGTGATGGAAAGGATTTGGCTTCCTTAATTTTTTTCTTGATTCCCTTGCAGGCAATGGTGAGACCAGCATGGTGCCGTTTCAGGTTCTCCAGCCGCTGATTCAGCACCTGAGCAGCATCCACCTTGTTCTCAAAGTCCTGCAGCAGCACCTCATTCCCCAGCAAGCCACACTTCTGCTGCAGCCTCTGATTGTCTGCCCGTAAACGATCCCTGGCCTGCTTGGTTTTGGTCAGCACATCTCTCTTTTGCGCCAGCACTGCCTCGATCTCCAGCAGCTCGACCTTCTTCTCCTGGTTCTCAGCTTCCACGAACTGCAGCTTCTCTTTGAGCTGTGTCAAGACTTGCACTGTGGTGGTGACTTTCTTCCTGAGCTTCAGCAGCTCCTCATTGCGCTCATCCACCTTCTCGTTGTAGGTCTGGTTCTCGATCTTCAACTGCTCGAAGTCGATGAGGTGCAGCCCCTCAGCCAGCTCTTCCTGGGCCTTCAGTCTTGCTTCCAGCTGCTCAATCTTGTGCTTCAGCTTGATGTTCTCTAGGCGTACCTAAAAGGGTGGGAGTGGGCAGAAAGACGTGAGCATTTCCTGGCCTCCTCGCACACCCCAACTACTGACAGAAAAGTACAGTAACGTGACCTTTCTAGGAGTTGCTGAAGCACTGGCTACAGTATTTCCTGGCATCCTCATGCACCCCAACTACCGCCAGGACAATACGTACGACTTTTGTTCCTTCCTGCCCAGGAGCTGGTGGAGTGTTCGCTACTGTATTTCCTGGTGTACTCACGCATCCCAGCTAGTGACGGGACAATAATGCGGCCTTCCTGCCCAGGAGCTCAGGGGGCACTCGCTCCCGTATTAACTGGTGTACACACGCACTTCAACTAGTGACAGGACAATACGGTAACGCAAAGCCCCTCCCCACCCCCGCCGCCTCACCTGGCTGATCTCCTCGTCCTTGCGCTGCTCGGCGGCCTGCAGACGCTCCAGCTCGGCCCGCTCCCCACCCGGCCGCCTCCTGCCTGCCGCCGCCGCCTCGGCCACGCAGGCCCGGTAGGCG